TCCGTTTGGGTCCCAGTCTCCAAGGCTGGCTGGAGGAGCCGGCGCTTTCAGGGAGATTGCCGTTTGGCAGCAAAACCCCCCGGCATTTGCCAATTCTGCACTGCTTCAGCTCCGTTGAGCTCAGACAGCTGCTGCACCCCCCTTCCCCTGAGACACGATAACTTTCCCTGTAATCTCTGCTGGCGACAGCAGCACGGAGCCATCCCACCCCCCACCCCCCGGCTCCTGCCAAGCTCCTGCCGCACGCAGCAAAGGAGCTGGGATGGCAGCATCCCTTCCCCAGGATGTGGGTGTCCATGATCAGGGGATGGGAAGCTCCAAGGCTCCCCGCAGCATGGGTGCACGAGGACACCCCAAAGTGACAGCAAACATGGGCTCCAGCAAAAAGTGCAGGGCAGGAGGCTCCTTGGGCAGGAGCCTGAGGGGTGCCAGATGGCTCGAAGAGCACCGTCCTGACACCCCACCCTGGTCCCAACCCTCTAGGACACAAGGAACCCACGCTGGGTGCTTGTGCCGGCACAGGCACTGGGATTTTTCCATCGTCAGATACTCACGCTTCTGGCAGGTTTCGGATCAAAGAAGAAATCAGCTCGGGCCAGATACTATCGGATGCCAAGGAGTGGGAAAAAGTGATGCTGCTGGACCGGTGGCCTCAAGCTGGTTTTTAGGGAAGGGTGAAAGTGAGGAGAGGAGCTGGTGGACCTGAAAAGTTAATTCCTTCCAGCTGTTGTCAGTCTGGCAGGTTCTCAAAGGAAGTTTAATAGTCTGCAGTCGTCTCCCCTCGGCCCGTCCCCCCATCGCCGAGCCGTGCGGAGGCAGCCCGGCAGAACCTGGATTACATGAGCCGCTGTGTCTTCCAGAGAGCGAGTTTCATTTTTCTGCCTTTGGCTCTGAAAGTGTTTTCTTGTGAATATGTGTGTGTATGTGTGCATGCACACGTTCGATGCCTTTCTCTCGCACCATCCCCAGCAAAACCTGCCCCTTTGACCTCAGTGAATTAGAAGGGACGGAGAGGGGCTGGGGCAGGAGCAGAGGACTGCAGTGGCAGCGAGGGGGAGGAGGGGAGACGGCTTTGTGGGCCTCCTTGCTGGAGCGCTCCCCAGTCCGCCGTGTGAACTGGGAGGAAAGAGGATGAAGAAAGTATTTAGAGTGGAAAATAAAACCCCTCTCTCTTGCTTTATTGATGGTGATTGTGGACAGGAATAGCTCGGGCTGTTGAAAGCCGCCTCCACTGACAGAGTGGAGGTGCATCCAAGCCACTCGGATGTGGGGCTCATCCCGTACAGCATCCTGCTCTCCACGGTGAAAGAGGGTGCCCAGAAACCTCACGGGCGAGCCAGCCCTGAAGCAGAAGGGTTTCTCACCTGCCTGCCACGGCTCCTGCATAGTTTCCAAGCCTTGTGCTGTACATCTTGCTATAGGCTGGCTGCATTGCCAGACATGCACGGCGTGGGAGCCCGGCAGCACGGCCGTAGCCCCGGAATGCGCAGCCCTGGCAGTCTATTAGCAATTAGCAATTAGACAACACACTCCCATCATTAACACATCCCATGGCCCATCCATAATAAATCACCAGCAGAGAGTATGGGACCAGCAGCATGGATGGCCAGCCGGGTCGATGCACTGCCCATCCCAGGGAATGGCACGTATCACTCCTGGGGGGATCCTGCCTTAAAAACAGCAAAAACAGAGCAATGTTAGTTTAAGCTAATGAATTTTAGCCTGTTTCACTGCATTGTTTCACTTCAGACAGCAAATGAGGGGCCAAGCCGGGCTGGGGAAGGAGGGCAGGCAAGCCCAGGGTGCCCAGTAAATCCCAACCTGCGGGGCCAGCATCCATGTGGGCACGGTGCTACAGCTCCCAGCTCTGAGAGAACCATAAAACCCAAGTGCTGGCAGGAGAGTAATTAGTTAAAATGGAGCACATCTGTTGTTAATTAATTCTCAGGCAGGAGGGTTTAACTCTTGCCTTCCCCAGTGGTTTGCAAGGTAGATGGCCAGCACCAGCTTGCATCCAGAGGAAGGCTTGAACTTCACTTTTCAAGCCCTTTCCAGGGACTCGAGTTGCTCCCGTTCAACATTCCCTGCTCTCGTCTGTCACTTCCACATCCCAGAACCATCCGGTGATTTTCAGGAGCACCCAGGCTGTGAGCAGAGCAGCCAGCATTGCTGAGGGCAGTGAACGTGCCTCAGGCTTAGGGTTAGGGCTGACAAAGTCTGACTTTGGCCCTGCCACAGCCCAGCCCTGAACAGCCTGCGCAGAAGATGGGACCCATCCGAGGGTGGGTTTGCAGAGCATCGCTCCGCAGGGCTGAGCTGCGCTTTCGGGCAGCCCTGCATTGGCAATTGCCATTTTATTTGCATTTTTCTGAGGCAGCTGTCATTAAAGTACATTCGTAGGCGTGAGTATCACGTACATTCAGCAGTACCTCATGTGCCGTGAAGAGCCCCTCTGCTCCCCATCCCTGCCTTGCCCGTGAGTTTCAAGCTGCGTGGACGGAGCCGCTGTGCTGGGACCTGGCCCCTCAGGAGCAGCATTAAAAGGGCACTTGGAGCAAAGGAGAGGAGCCATTTAGGAGCCGGGGGGGTTCTTCCCATGCCGGGACACAAGCACGCACGGCACAACCAGCCCGCAGGGCCCTCCCGTACTGGGGGCATCTGTTCCCCATTAAGCAACTCCGGCAGCGCTCGTTACTGTGGCTGGTGGGGAGAGCAGGCTTGCCAGCTCCAACCTCCCTAATTAGCACCACAAGTGAGGCCAGGCTGGGGAAGGCCAGCGCCTCCGTTTCTCCTTGCCAAGGATGCAAACGGTCTGGAGCAGAGCCTCAGCCAGAGCCCATGGAAAAACTCCCACCAGCCCTGCGAGTGCTGGATGGGGACCCAGTCCCATCCATCCCGGGGTGCGCAGCGATGTGCATCCCCTCCCCGGGGCTCAGCCCAGGTGACCATGCCGGAGTGAAGGTTAAAGTCCCAATCTGCCACACCAAGCCCCCCCCATCACGTGAGGGGTGGAGGAACGCTGCCTGCACCATCCTCTTCCCCTCCGTGCACTTGCACTACACCGGGCTCCGACCGCCTTTAACTCACCACTAAAAATAGGTTTCACGGCTGAACGGCAGCGCCGGAGGGCAGGCAGCCCAGATCCCAAATCAGCTTGTGTCGCTGTGACCAACTGACCCATTTGGCCTCGATTTTTTAAGTATTTTTCCCTCCTCATTCAACTTCAGCCCAGGCAGCAGGCTCAGCACGACGGCTGAGACCCCGAGGGGCAGTGAGACTTGCAGGGGGTCATGGTCTCACCCCTGCACGGCACAGCATGGCACAGCACGGCTCATGGTCCCACAGCAAGGCTGGGAAGTGGCAGCAAGAGGGCTCAGGCCACCCGGATTCGGAGGGCTGCCAG